GAAAGGGCCCCTTGGATAAGCGCCAGAGGTTTCCCCTTCCTGTGTGATGCAGGGTGCGTCGTTGTGTGAGAGGAATTGCCTTGGAAGGCAGGCAAGGTGCCTTTTCCCCTTCTAAGGGCCACTGGACTGCACAGCCACTGCGCCGACACACACACACAGAGGGCCAAATACAGAAAGACACCCTGGGCTTAGTGGAGGGGTGGACCGTCTCGTCTCCCTGTGGCCAGAGAGAGCTTGGTTTCTTTTTCAGAGTCAGAGATGCAGGCGGTTTACCTGAAATCTGTGCGCAGCCCTGCGGTCGGAAACAGGTACAAGATGGTGCACAAGAGGCGCAGCCTGACCCCTGTTTTCTCCCAGGTAGGACGTCTGGCGAGGGGCATCGGGGGAGGGGGCAGGCAGACCCTCTCCCGCAAAAGCTGGGCTTGCTTTTGGTCGACTCGTGTGGTCAGATGCCTCTGGCGGGTAGCTCCGGTTCCAGGGAACGCCACGAGGCAACTGCTGTGCCTGTTAGGAAAGGTGGGACCCCCATCCCTTCAGAGACATGGCTTAAAGGATGGCCTTGGGGGGGGGCTGGAAGGTCCCGGGGTTTCCAGGGTTGTGTTCAGAAAAGTTTCCTGGGCCAAGAAGGAAACCAAAAGAGCCGGTCTCAAATTGAAAAATAACCGCAGCAGCAGCAGCAGGCGTGGGAATATTGAGTCCCCTGCAGCTGAGCACGTGGTCCTTCACAGGGAGCGCAACCCTCTCCGGAACAGGTGGAACATCATCTCCCTGAACCGTGAGCCATCCACTCCTAAGAATCGTTGTCTTAAGGATGAGCGGCTGGTTTGGGACTTTCTCCACCCTTTACCTGATCTAGCTGTTGGTTCAGCCTTTCCTCTGCATCATCTGCCCAAGATGATAAAGAGGCCAAGGGCTGGGAATCATCTGCCTCCAGGGGACCCCTTCACTCCAGAGTCCAGGGTTTCTTTGAAAAGCGTGCTGCTCATTATATACCCCACCACATAGTGCTTGAAGCCCTCTTTCGGAGGTTTACAACTTAACGATGCAGGTTACATTTTGCGACCTGCCCACCAGCAAGCTGGGTCCTCGGTTTACTGACCTCAGAAGAATGGAAAGCTGAGTCCACCTTGAGCCGGAGACCTGAGCCTCTTGGGATCAAACTTGGGTCCCGAGCAGAGTCTTCACTGCAGTACGGCAGTTTAACCACTGTGCCAGGAGACTTCTTTTCAGAGAACGTTGCAGTCTAGATGTGTCTCGGGTGCCTCAGTCTGTAACTAAATTATAGCGGAAGTCTTAGTGTTTCATTGGCTGAAGTCATGAAGCTTTATTATGCCTGTGAAGGGTGAAGGGCATAACAATTAGTCGCTTCTAACTGGCAGTTAACGAGCTGCTGCTAGGCACTCATGCCTGCTGGCTTGACCCATGCTTAGGATTTTAACTGGGCCTTGCTAATCACCAGCAAGAAGCCACCGAACATTATGCCATTTTCCTTCTCCGTGATTTAAATTCTGCACAGTCGTGTGCATTAGAAGGTTTAAATGAAATGAAGTGAAATGCGAAGGCATGGGTCCGTGCGAGAAGGGGGCATTTGTCCCCTGCATCCCTTGGCGGCTTCACAAACATTTCCAGAAGCCAGAAGGGGGAAGGACAACGAGGCATCCTTTTGTCACGGCAAGCGCTCGGCTGCCCTCATGTGGCAAACGGCTTGAGCGCGGACAAAGAGCGGCTTGGAAAACGTGATTGGCGGGTTGCACATTTCCCACAGGCCTCGGCGTCCAGTCCTTGCTGGACTCCCTTGACAATGTGGAGTTCGGGTCGCACCCGCCGGCCTCTGTTCTTCGCTCGCCTGATCGGACTCCCTTGACAATGTGGAGTTCGGGTTGCACCCGCCGGCCTCTGTTCTTCACTCGCCTGACGGCTTCCTTGCTTTCCAGGTTCCGGAGCAGGACGAAAACTACTTAGCTGACAGCTTCTGCGTGGAAGACCTTGAGGAAGGCAACCCAAAAAGCAGCTCGAGTGGAGAAGAGGAGGAGGAGGAGGAGGAATGCCTTGATTTTAACCTGCTCCAGGAGGAAAGTTTTGCCAACGGGAGAAAGCAATACAACACCCGTCACCGGAGGAGGCTGAGGGAGCGGGGCCAGAGCATTCCGGCGCGACCCAGGAGACCCTCCCGCGTTGTTTCCCTTCTCAGCAGCTCAAGCGATGAGGAAGGAGGCTTCGGCAGCGGGGGGCCAAGAGACCTGCCCTCCGTCCCAAAGGCTGGGAACTCCCTGCCAACCTCGGGCGGCTTCCTGCCCCGACGGATGCCCGCTCCAAAGGCGGCCTTCCCTCGGCTGCCCCAGGCGGCCGGGGCCTGTGTGCCGCCGGAGCCGGAAGGTGGCCTCTCGGAAGAACCAGGCCGAGAGCCGGACTGGCGAGAGCCGTTCCCGGGAGCGCTGGACCATTGCCAGAAGAAGACGACGACGGTGGTAGGCCAGAGGGTGGCGAGTCAACCCACCAGCTCTGGAGCTGGCGGGGAGGGAACCTGGTTCTTCTGGCTCGGGCAGAACGCTTAGGATCGTTGCCTCTGTAGATCTCTGCGCAGATTCTCAGTCCTCTGGGGGAGGCTCTCTGGGGGTTGAGTCCTGGCCACTGGACCACTTTCTTGTTAGGCTGAAACATTTCGCTTCTCCCTGGTGCCCTTCCCCCCCTCCCTGGAAAGATCAGGACCACACATGCGTGAAGGACCCCTGTTAACATAGGCCACGACGATGGGTGGAGAAGGACTGTCCCCTCCGATCCATTGTCCATCTAAGAAGTCTATTCAGACTCAGGGGGAAGTGGAAGCAACACGGAGGATCTGTCCAGGGATCTCACACCAACTCTCCTCAGACTGAAGAAGCAACATGGATGAGCAGTGAAACATTTCAGCCTAACAAGAAACAGGTCCAGTGGCCACGACTCAGTGGCCAGGTTGTCTCCGCATGTTTCCCTCCATGAGGACTAGAACGATAATGAAGCAAAAGGGATGTTCAGTTTGTGCAACTGAGGCTCGGTGGCTCCTCAGAGGACCACAGGTTGAGACGGGAGCCAGCAGCACGCAGCGGCGGGGAAAAGAGACAGAGGCAGTCTTAGCTAATGCAGAAGCGGAGGGGGGGGGGTTGGCACTATCCTGACCCTCTGTTGTCCTGTATTGCCAGGTTGGGGGGGGCACAGGTGGGTCCAGGGTCCAGGACCAGCTGCCACCCTTTTAAGAATGACATAGACAAACGAGTAATGTCCCAGTGGGGGGTGAGACGGATGGAGGGAGGCCAGTTCCTGGAAGGATCCGTCCAAAGAGCTGCTCATTTCACTTGGAGAAAAGATCCAGGGGAACCACTCCCAAGCTTATCTTCTGTTCTTCTATCAGAGAAGAGAATCAATCTGTCGATGGAGGAAAAGTCTTCCTCATTGCCTACTCAGCCTTGCAGAAAAAACAAGAGGTTATAACAGTTGCCACGTATTGTGAAAGCAACAAAATGTAATTTATCATAAAACAGCCTGGCAGTTTTAAATACAGGCGGACTCGCCCATCTCAGAGTACCTGGGCCAAAACCACGTTCTTTTCCCCTGTCAGTGGGATGATGCTGACATTGCACCACCACCACCCTGTGTGTGCCCCCCCCACACAAACACACACACACACAGAGCCAGGCTCCGGCCGCCCTCAGGATTGGGTCTCAAACGGTTTAGGGTTTCCAAGCTCAGGAGAGAAGGCACGGGTGGAGCACCCTCAGCGTTGACGTGGGGGTGACTCCCTGATGGCTGCACTCTGTGGGCCCCCCGGCACCCCAACATGCCCTGGTTAAAAAATAAAAATTGGCCCCTAAAGGCTAGGAAGAGAGGCTTTTTTCCCAGTCTGTTTTGAGAAAGCCTCGGGGGAGGCTGGCAGGGTGCAGAAGCCGTTACAGCTTCCACGAACCGGAGGTGGCTTCCCGTGGACCCAGAAGCCCCAGAGGGGGGGACCCACCAGGTGGGCCCGTCAGGCCAGGGGTACGTTGGGGGCCCCAAGGATGCGCTCCCTCTCGCAGCCTGGCTGTTTGAAGCCTGGTGAGGAGTGCTCAGTGGTGCTTGTTTTTCTGCAGGGGGAGTCTGAGGAGCGCCCGCCCGGACCCCGTCCCCTTCCTGCCTCCCGCCCGTCCCGTGATGCTCCGAGGACGCCGGCCGCCCTCTGCGTTCTGGCGGACAGTCGCGAGGTGGCCTCCGGGCCGGAGGTCATTTCCAGCCTGAAAGCGGTCCACGGCATTAAGGTTCAGGTGGTCTCCCTGGGGGTCTGCGATTACGTGGTCAGCAACCGGCTGGCCGTGGAGAGGAAGACCCAGGCGGAGCTGCTGAATGGCGCGCAGCAGAGCAAGGCCGTCCAGCGGGTGCAGCGGCTGAAGAGCACCTTTGAGCGGATCTGCGTGATTGTGGAGAAGGAGAGACCCAAAGCAGGTGGGTCTCTGGGCCCGGCCAGTTTCCCCCCCCTCCCAGATGGGACAGCAGCTGCCACAAGGACGGTGAGAGGGGCCTCGTTCCCTCCAGCGTTAGCCCAGAACTGCTCTGCAGTCTGCCTGTCCGGCAGCCGCTGCTCTGCTCTTCCCGGAGAGCTTGCGGGTGAGACCACCTCTGGCCTTCGACAGACAAAGCCCCCAAACCCTCCTGGCCACTTGGACCTCCTCCTTCCACCTGCCCCGTCTTCTTTTCCTCATAGAAATGAAAGGATGCCCATTTTGCTGCAGGCAAAAAAAAGAGGTGAAACTGGTGGGAGAAAGGTCCGAGCTGGCCCTCCTACTCCCGGGTGGGTGGGTGGTTCTTTCCTAGAGGGACACCAGGCAGGGCAGGAGACCTCGGCCACCCTTTGCCAGACCCTGCCCGCCAAAAGAGTACATTTGATCTCCAGTCCTGAAGGGGCCTGCCTGGGTTTACAGAGTGGACACCTCCCCCTGGCCTTGAAGAGGTTTCACTGGCTGTGAAACCAGCAAGAATGCCAGTTAGAGGAGGGCTGGGTTCTAAGGTCGGGATGGTCACGAACCTTGGTTCGGAGGTTCGTGGCGGTTTGTACACTTCCCTGCCTCTGTGGCAGATGGCGCAACTCGGATGAGGCGGGACAGGCAATCCTGTGCTCCTGCCAGAGGCTGCTCAAACAGCGGAGGAGGAGGAGCAGGAGCATGCGCCAGCTGGTGAGTGGGGCCTTCCTTGGCCAGGAAGGCAGGGAAAGGGAGCACATGGTGCCGTCACAAACCTCCGAGCCGAGGTTCCTGCTCCTCTCTGGTCCAGGGGTGTCTCTGCCTACTGCCGGCAGCAAGGAGCCATGCAGGGGCACCTCCTCGGTAAGCGGAAGGTCCCAAATCTTAAGCCCTGTGATGGATCCAGTGCAGGATTCAAAGAGGGCCCTTCCTACTTCATAGGATGACAGACAGACAGACAGACAGAATTTCAAGCTGGCCAGCCGGTCACCCACAGCAGTCCTTGTTCACCTTAAGAAGGGTGGGACTGCGTTGAGCTGACCCTCCCACCCGAGGCTCCTGGGCAGACAAGGCAGGCGGGTCAAGGTCCCGTGGAATACACGGAGCGTGGCGGCATCCCCTGAACATTTTGAGAACCGTGCCGGATTGTGAACCTTCCCTGATGCGGCCAAAGGCTTGGATTGTTGCTGTATAATGAAGAGGTGGAAGAAAATAAGCGCAGCGATTCAAGCCAAAAAGCTGCCGTTGGCTTGAGCCGTTTGCTCAGTGAGCCTGACTGCTGGGGGCGTCCCAGCCAGGTCCCCAGTCCCCGTGCCCATTTCCACAAGCGAGGAGACCCTTGCCAGTTAGTCCCCATGAGCCACAGCAACGGATGCAGACTTTACACCAACACCAGCTGCGTTTTCCTTCAAACTAGTCACGCCTTTTTTTTGGCAACAAACGAGCATGTTCTTGACTCTGTCCCTCGGGACCACTCAGACCTTTTTCTGGGCGAGAGGAGAGAAAACTATCAAGGCAGAGGTAAGGCCTTGTTTGCCTGTGGCATCTTCCTTGACTGCCCGTGGGGCACAAAATGCTCCTGGCTTCCCCTAGTAGTAGTCCATCCCTGCCAGGATGCTGGTGTCGCCCCCCTCCCCCAAGGGAACGGCTTCAGCCGGCCTAGATTTCCAGAAATCTCCTCCACTTTGGGCCCCAGGCCACGTGGTGAGCCGTTTTGACCCTGGGCTCCCATGCCTTCCCGTTTCAGGAGAGGCGTGGAGAGCGTTCCATCGGACCAAGCGCTACGACAGCATCCTCTCGGCCTTCATCCGGGCAGGGATCCGCGTGCTCTTCAGTTCCTGCCAAGAGGAGACGGCAGAGCTGCTGGCGGGGCTGGCGTCGGTGGAGCGGCGGAAGAAGGCGGCCCTTGTCGCCCCGACCGAGGTGGAGGGGCCCCAGCGAGAAGCCCTCCGGTTCTACTTGAGCATCCCCTGCGTCAGCTACCCTCTGGCCTTGGCCTTCTGCCACTGCTTTGGCTCCGTGAAAGAGATGGTCAACAGGTAGGGGCTCGGCCGTGGGATCCTCTCGGCAGAGCCTTTCTGTCCCAGCTGAGAAACCGCGGGACAACCTGGGCTGCCGAGAGCCGCACACGGGGCTCATCCTCTCCTGTTGGGCCGATGGGGCTCACCTGCTCCAGGGACACACACCCCTGCAGGCATGCATGGTGTTGCTAGAAGAGTCAGATCCTTTCAGAGGTGCCTGAGGGGCACGGCCCACGGTGGACGAGGAGGGCTGGAGCACAAGAAAAGCCTTGGTGCCAATGATATGCCAAAGACTCGTTGCTGATCACTTGATAGAAGAGTGCCCCCCCCAGGCAGGGGGGGTGAGCTCAACCACCCTGCCTCTAGGGACAAACGGTTGCACATGCGTGCATGCAGAAGGAAGGAAAGAAAAGGAAGGGAAAGGAAATGAAATGAAAGGAAGGGAGAAAGGAAGGACCTGAGGAAGGAAGGAAGGGGAGCTGATGATAGGAGGAAGGGAGGAAGTGAGGACCAACACACCAGGCTCAGGTAGCACTGCACCCTGACTAACAGCAGAGGTAGCTGTTGCTCCGGTGCTCCCTTGGAAATCTTCTCTGATTCAGCAGTTATTTCTTGACCTTGTCCCCCCCCCCACCCATCCCCACCTCAGGTGCTGCTGGAAGACCTGCCTTCTCAGGTGCCCCCATGAGACGCGTCCGTCATATTTTCCTTTCCTTCTGCTCTGTTCTAGTTCCCCGGGAGAGATGGCCGCCCGCACCCAGGTGATGCAGCAGAAGGCGGAGGAGGTCTACCGTTACATCTACTACCACTTTGAGGCCACGATGCTGCCTGGGATCGGCACGTGACCCGCGGCGGCCCTTGAAAAATGCACTTTACGCTTTTGTTCTTCCAGTGTAAGATATGTAAATAAACTTCCAAACAAAAGAAATCTTCCTGTCTGGCAGGCGGCTGCTTTCCTCTAAAGCGTGGCCGGCCAGCCCAACTCTCCCTGGACCTTGGAGGGCTGCCTCTGCTTGGGCCACCCCCACCCCCAAATTATTTACCAAGCTGTTCAGGGAGGGGGGAATCTTTTACTGCAGAGAGCCCCTTGCACCCTCCAGCAGCTAATTCCGAAATTCAAGAGTGGGATGTGTGTGGAGGGGGAGCGCAGGGGTGCCGAGGGTCTGAAATCACGGGCGAATTGCCCCCGTGTTCCCTAGATGCCTAGGGTGTGTTTTTCTGAGCCAGCCCTTTGCCCCAAAATAAAATAGACTGCTGTTTTAGGGCTGGGCAGGGTGAGAGTGCAGGAGGGTGGCTTTCACCCAGCCTGCTTTGCAACCACCAAGCCCATCCAAGTGCACCCAAAGCCAAAGGCTGGTCCCTTGCGGGGATGATGGGAGAAGCAGCCGCCTGAAAGGACAAGCAGTGGAACCGAGCGGAGCCTTGCTTTCTGGAGAAGACAAGGGTGTTACCTTAGTTGGACCACGAAGAAGAAACATGTGTTGCAGCTTATCTGGGAGGCAGCAGTCCTGGGAGGTGGGCAGCCGTCCTGTGGGTGGCTCTCTCTTTCCGAGGAGCCCCAGCAGGGGGGGGGGGTTGGCTCAGGTCTGAACCCCTCGCCTGTGAAATGCCGCCAGTTGGGCCCCAAAGCGGCTTTTACCCCCTTGCAAGCAGCATTCGCAGAACAGCCAGCGGCCTCCGTGCCGAGCAAGGATGGCAAAGACTTCAAGGCGTTGACGTTTCCTACACTGGAAGGAGCCCCACGGAGTGTGGTTGCCCTGGCAGAGCCGACGTCCCCCTAGATGGATTGTGCTGTGGCTTCAGTCAACATCTTCCGGCCACACATGTGGTGGGACTTTTTTCCAGAGTTTCCCTCGGGTGCCACTTGACACCAGAGCGAGTCTGCTTTGGAGCCCAGGAAGAGCCCCCCCGGGGGAGGAGAGCAAAGGGAGAGCTGGGGGCAACCGCTTTCACGCCTAGCCATCTCGGCTTGCTTCTCCTCCCCTGGCTGCCAGCAGTGCTCAGTGCCTGGGGGGGGGGCTGCAAAGGAACAGCCGCCATCCCTGCCCCAACGGCGAACAACAGCAATACCGCTGGATCCAGAAAGATTTTAGTCGTTGGTTCAGAGTCGGAAGGTCCCTTCTCCGTCATTGAGTCCAACCCTCTGCTCAGTTGCAGGATGCTGCCCACGACACCTGGTGGATCACCACACCCGCCAGGTTCTGCTCAAGCACCCCCAGCGATGGACAGCTCAGCCCGTCCCAAGGCCCCTCCGGAAATACCCGAGCTCTCTTCCCCAGCCCTATTTTTAGTCTCTTTCAGGGCTGGGAGCGGGAAGACGACAGGACACCCTAAATCTTGGCTGGTGCACAAAAAGTTCACTTAAGAGGCACGTCAGAGACCTGAAAAAGCTCAGTCCCACAAATAGAGATGGGCACGAACCAGTGATTCGTACCGATTCGTCGTTCGGCCAAACAGGTGTCCGGCGCTTCCCTGCCCCGCCTCCTCCATTGGGCACTCGGAGGCAGTGCCCGGAGAAGCCGGGGCAGGCAAGCCGGAGCGCTGCTTTCTGAGCGGGCACCTGACGGGAAGCGCCAAACACCTGTTCGGTGGAAGGTCGAACCAGCGCGAATCTCCAGTTTGGTGGTTTGTTGCCTCCCTACCCACAACCCTCAATGGAAGGGACAGCGGAAGAGGGTCCTTCGCACAGCAAGACTGGCCTGCAAGTCAGCGTTAGCTGCTGTGAGATGTATCCCCACATCCTGACAAGTTATCCAGCCAGACAGGAAGCAGTACTTGAAACATTTAGGAACTATTGAGAATGCATGTTTAATACAAAAATACAGAGTCACTGTTCTTTGTGCAGGAAATTCAATTGTAAAACATTCTCTTGGGGGTTTATTACACAGCAACTTTTAAAAACATTATTTTCCTTCTTAAAAAAAAAAAACAAGCAGTTTCCAGAACTAAGGCCTCTTTACACGGCCCATTGCTGGGGGAAGACCGAAGTGGACCACTGTCCCCCTGGCTCAGAGCTCTTCAGAGCACACAGGGAAGACATGAGCAAGATAAGCATTTCATTCTGTTCTGCAACATTAGAATCAAACACGCAAAGGCCCTTGGTTGTTCATTAAAAACAAGAAAACACCCTGGCTTTGAGCAGGGGCCCGGAGCGCTGGCTTTTATACGGGATAGAGGGCAACGAAGCCGAGAGATGCGGGGAGGCTGGCTAAGAAGAAAAGTAGAAGTCTTCCTCCTCCTCGTCTTCCTCCGATTCCAGTCGTGGATTCCCTGGAAAGAGCCGCCCCAGCCCAGAAGAAACCAGGGGACCTGCAGCAGCAGGAGGAGAAGGAGGAGAAGAGAGACCCTGTGAGCAGGTTTGCTTTCGGGGAGAGGGGTCAAGCAGCAGGAGGAGGAGGAGGAGAAGAAGGTGGAGAAGAGAGACCCTGTGAGCAGCTTTGCTTTCAGGGAGGGGGCCAGGAGATGGAGCTCCCCCCCCCGGAACAGAATCATTCCAAGACTGGGTCTCGAGGGAATGGATTACCTCCAAATCTACTGACAAGGGACTGCAGTTTTACCGAGCCTTGTGTCCCCTGGCTTTGAAGCTTCTGTCCTCCAGTAGGGGGCAGGTTTTCTAGAGCACCTGCTTGTGTGGACGACTAGCATGAGCTCAAGTCTAACAAAACTGGCTAGTCGGCCGCCGTTAAGGGGCCACAAGTCTCTTCGGCTGTTCTTTACGCCACAAAACTAACACGGCAGCTGCCTTCCAGGAAGCTTGCGGGAAGCGCAGATGGAGGAACCTGGGGGGAGGAGGCTGAAGGGCACTACATTTCATCAGCCAGAGAGCTAACCAGACGATCCCTAACCGTGTGGTTGATAGGCAGGGGAGAGTGATCCTCACTGGCTTTCTAGAGTCCCCTCTTCTCTCTCTTGCACACCTGAGACGGGCAGTGCAGGGGCCCGTATTGCTGGCCCCCTCCCCTTCCTGTGACCCCTTCTGTGGCCAGGAAAGCACCCCAAAGCACCACCCTCCCTCCCAGCTGTCCCGTCTGTCGGTTGAAAGAGCCGCTTACCTTCGGATTGAAAGAACTTTTTTTTTCGGGAAGTGGGAGTCGCCGAGATGGTCTGTGCCTGTTGAAGACAAAAGAAACCTCGTTCCACCGCCCTGCCCAAAGAGACTCGGGAAAACGAAAGCAAGCCAGGTGGTTCAGCTTTGGATGGCAACAAAATCGGTGCAAGGGTGAAGCATGGGAAGCCCACCCACCAGGCTCCTGGGTAGGAGACAACACCCACCCACCCAGATTCCCTTGTGGCAGAAAGCTAGGCGAAAGGGGGCATCTTTGACCCCATCAGGACCATCCAATGAATGGCCTTTCAAGGAGCTGCTCTCTCAAAAGAAGCTCGCCCTGAAGAGAGCAGTGGTGTGTTCGGCAGCAGCAGCAGCAGCCGTCGGTTCCCCAGAGCTGGTAAGGAGAATCCCAACCGAAACCTGCACGGCGGTCAGCTTTGGACGACTGTGCCCAGTCAAGAGAGGCCTCCTCGCTTCCCTCCTGTCAGCAGAAAGTGGGCAAAGCTGCCCTTGAGAGTCTTTGGGACAAGAGGGGAGGGGGCTGCAGAAGCCGTCCTGGCCACTCCGTGTCCAGCTTCTCAAGAGCTCTTGGGGCAGGGCAGGGGGGCAGGAGGAAGAGGAACTGCCTTCAAAAGACCCACTCCTCGGTCTTGATGGCAGATCCAGCGAGGGAAATCTTACCGCCTTCTTCTTCTTCACGTTCTGCCAGGTGGACTCCTTGCCTCTGATGTTCTTCTGAAAGCGGAAGACCTGCTTGTCACGGTCTGCCCTGAAATACGAAATGTTTTAAACACCCCGAGAGGCGAGACTCACTAGAGTTGCATCTCTAGGAAGCAGAAAGAGGGGGTACGGGCAGGGAATCTTGTCATCCACTGAAAAAGAGCAGGCAAAATCGAAACCCACCACGTAGAATTTCGGGTCGCAGAGGAGCTGCCAGAGCAAGCGACTCAATGACCCTCAGCAAAGACGCTGGGAGGAACCATGGCTGGAAGGCACCAGCAGCCGCAGCCAGGGGGAGAATGACGGGGGAAGAGGCACTGGGCCAGCTCTGCACCTACTCACCCCCCAGCTGCCTTGCCTCAGGGGTGCTTCAATCCCTTCCCTTTCTTTACCCCCCCGCCCCCCCGCTGGCCAATTCTCTGCCTCTTTGCTGGCCCCACCAAGAGCACTTTAAAAACTGTATCTGAAACTCTAGGTGTGGCCCAATATATCTGGCAGGAGTACTGGAGAGCGGGAGGCGAGCAGGAGAAGGGCTCCCACCGCTTCTTTGCCTTTTCCCTCCCAAAACTTAATTTGAAATTTATAGGCAGCTGCTATAACCCTCCACTGTGTATGGGGGGATGGGGGGGTTTAGGAATGCTGACTTGCTGCCCTTTCTCCAGCACATTTCAAGATGTGTGGCCCAATATATCTGGCAGGAGTACTGGAGAGCGGGAGGCGAGCAGGAGAAGGGCTCCCACCGCTTCTTTGCCTTTTCCCTCCCAAAACTTAATTTGAAATTTATAGGCAGCTGCTATAACCCTCCACTGTGTATGGGGGGATGGGGGGGTTTAGGAATGCTGACTTGCTGCCCTTTCTCCAGCACATTTCAAGATGCCAACCTCCGTCGCACTCAATGGGCTGAACCGGAGTTTGGCAGAGTTAAAACTCGAGATGGCTCATAAAAAAAGGCGTCCGTTACAGTATGTTGTGTCTTAGGAAAGGACACACACACACACACACACACACACAACACGAGAAGAAAATGGCATACCAAGGGCAGGGACTCGCTGTCAAGTTAGACTCAAGTCACACCTGTGACCCCACTCAGGTTTTCTCAACAAGTCAGACTCAACTCGCAACTCAAAACCCACCCACTCCTTTTCTTCCTGGTGGGAAAAAAACCTTGTTTTTAAGAGGGACTCGGACTTGGGACTCAGATCCGAAGATTTGCCAAAATCCTCGCTCCGTACGCCAATCAATGCAGGCGGTCCCTTCGGGGCACCTCCGGTGCTCCCGTCTGACAGCACAATCCCGACTGTCCCCCACCCCCTTCAAGAGGAGGTGGTGGCGGGTGGGAACGGGGACCCGGACCTGCTCAGCTGCCTCCTCCAAAGCTCCCTCCCTTGAACCCTTCTCTCTCTCTCTCTCTCACTATCCCTCTGCCTCTTGGGACAGTGGCCAGCAAGAGCCTTCTTCCTCCTTAAACAGGAAACAGACTCCCAAGCCTGGGGGTAGGATGGGTGGGGAAGAGAGATCCTTGGAAGGGCTGGCTTTGGCCAGAGGGGCTGGTCTGATCTACATGGAAGGTCAGGTATGGAAATGAATGCTAACCCCATGCAATGGGAAAATGGAAGCAAGAGGAGAGATGGAAGGCTAGTGGAATACAGGACAGCCTGGCATGGCCCTTCTTCCTCCTTAAACAGGAAACAGACTCCCAAGCCTGGGGGTAGGATGGGTGGGGAAGAGAGATCCTTGGAAGGGCTGGCTTTGGCCAGAGGGGCTGGTCTGATCTACATGGAAGGTCAGGTATGGAAATGAATGCTAACCCCATGCAATGGGAAAATGGAAGCAAGAGGAGAGATGGAAGGCTAGTGGAATACAGGACACCCTGGCATGGCCTGGATATCGACTCCCTTCAAAATCCCCCCCTGCATGCTTGTGTTGACGCCCCTGGTTAACAATGACCCAGGCGAGCCAGTGGGGTTGGAGAAAGTGGTCCACAGGGGACTTGCCTTTCAAAACGGGCCCCAAAGAAGCACACCCACCTGTCAAGGGATTCCAGCATGCCTGGGCTGACGTGCTCGCACTGGGGGGTCTTCACCAACGGGAAGAGGGCAGAGGAAGGTGTGGTGGGGTGACTGTCTTTGAGCTGGAAGATGTCTTCCTCGGGGACCGTGTGGAACTGTGGCAACTAGAGAGCACACCCTTGTTAAACCCCAGGGCAGAGGCGGCCTTCCGACAGCCACCTTGGCCCTGATAGGGGGAGACCCTTTGAAGGGGGGCGCGCAAGTCACCTCTCCCAAGAGAAACGGGTCTATCTTCTGACTTGGTGCATTTTCACGGGACAAGTCCTGCCGCCATGAACATCTCTGTCCGCAAGGCGCCAAAAGGAGCGTCAATTTTCCCCCAGAATGCGAATCTCAACTGCGCACGCCCAAAACTCCTCGGGAGCCTTTCAAGAGGTTGCACGAGCCTGCTACTGGGCTTGGAAGCCAGCCAACGTCAAAGAGACCCCTGAGCTTTGGGGCAAATTTAAAGCCCATCACGAGGGCCAGTTCCCAAGCCCGGAAGGAGCGCTGCATTCTTCTTCCCCACCCGCTGGCTAGGGGGCCCATAACCATGGAGACCGCGGGAGCCGTCAAAGAAAAGAGACACTCTCGGGCGCAACAGGTGTGATCTATTTACTTTGCGATTCTTGTTCTGGAAGGGGGTGGCCGTGAAGAGGTCGTCGTGGTTGTCCTTGGGCATCTGTTCAAGGAACTTCCGCATCTGCTGCTTCCGCTTCAGCGTTCCCACCTTGGCGACGATGGGGACGGGCTGCCGGGCCCCTTCCTCCACTAAGAAGCGGGACACAGAAAGAGAGCAGTCGGCGGGAAGACTCACCTGGGCAGGAAAGGATCTGCAGCCCCAGGAGGCCAGCTGCCCGAGAATAGCCTCTGACTCCCCAGGACTCTCTCGGGTCTGTCCCTCCCCCCAGCTTTACGCCCACCTTCACCTTCCGCCCATCCTGCGTTACAGAAGTGCAGGGGTTTTAGAAGGTGCATTTCAAGGCAAGAGTTCAGCTCTGCTCCCGAGATTTAGAGCCTGAGGCCTCCGGCCTGGCTGCCCACAGGAGACGGCCGGCGTTAGGTCAGACCTGCGCCTCTGTCCTCCTTTTTCCCAGGCTTGGTGGTCCTGGCGAGGGCCCGCTTCCTGCCCTTTTCCTGCTCTGCCATGTACCTCTGCTGGCACTCTTCAGCCGACCTCGTCCCCACGCTCTTGGCGACTTCCATCCAGAAGCCACTCTTGTATTTGGGGAAAGAAGCCACGGCCCTACAAGACACAAAAAGCAGCCCCCGGGAGAAGGCGGACGTTAGTTCAGACCCTCACAAGGAAGTCGCTGTCATTCCACTTTTGGATCAGGGTGCTGGGCACGGCCCTGGCCACTGGGGAAGGCAGCACCGGTCACTCAAGGGGGGAGCTGCCATCCCCATGAGATGGATCAGCCAAGAAGGGGGCGCGGGGAAGCGATCAGGGATTTCTCTTGGAGAAGGACAGGGCTGGCCGGGCGAAGGGGAGGGAATGGGCAGAAGAGCCACCGTGAACCGCTGGGAAGATAAACCAAGCAAGGTTTGCAAAGGACGTTGTTGGACCTCAGAACTGTAGGGGACACCCGTCTGGCGGGACCAAGGAGGTCGGATCCAGCCTCACCACTTGCCTGTGCAGCTTCTGCAGTTCCTTCTCCGACCAGTCCTCGCTAACCTCCGGAAGAGGATCCACGGCCTTCCACGGCCGCCTCTGGCCAAGGGTCCTTCCCGGGGCGGCTAAGTGTTCTTTACCGTGGGAAAGGTGGCCGTTGGCCCTCGGGGCCGCTCCTGTTTGCTTTCCTGGGTTGAGCCGGGGCTCTTCAGGACCTGCTTCGCTTTCAGACTCCGATTCAAAGACAAACTTCTGAGATTTCTGCAGGCCCCATTTGTTCCGCCTCTCGAGCCCAGGAGACCCTCTGTCCGGGTCTGGGGAGGGGCTCCTGCGAGGGAGTTCTTCTAACTGCCCAGAGCAAGAAACCCTCATCCTGCCGCTCGGAGGAGGATTCCCTGTTCCCCTCGGATCAGACGATGGCTTCTTTGCATCCCTCTGAACCCTGCGGAGTGCCTCTCTTTTAGAACAGGGCTGTGTTTTCCTCTTAATACGTGGAATGTCTTCAGTGGAGGTGTCTTCCTCGGTGGTGGGAAAGCTCTCCACCACTGGCTCGTTTTGGTGCATTTTTTTCAGAGACCTGAGTGGGTATTTGAAACGGGCCGGTTCTCCAGCAGCCTTGCTTGCTCGAAGGCCGTTTGGTGCTCTTCCTTGCTTCACCACAGTTGACTCTCGTTGGGAGTGGCCGACGTGCCCTGAGTTCTTTCCGCACAGCTTCTTAAGGTTCAGTGGGGTCAAGGCAACGACAGCCTCTTTCCTGCCGGCATCCACAATCATACGTTCGCAGTCGCTCTCTTCGGAATCGGAAACAAAACGGCGTGAATTTTGTTTATTTCCATGCTCACTGTCGCTGGGGAACCTCCCAGCTCTTGTACTAGTTCTTCCTGAGGGGCAAAACAAAAAACAAAAAAAGAGAATATAGAAATAACATTAGAATCACAGAATAATGGAGCTGGAAGTGGCCTATAAGGCCATGGAGTCCACACACAGTTCAGGAAACCAAGTAACAGTATATCTGATGGATAATTTAATGTTCTCCTGAAGGACTCCAGCACTGGAGCGCTTATCACCTCCGCCGGAGGTCATGGGTTCCCCTGTTGTACTGCTCTAACAGTTAGGGAAATTTTCCTGATACTCAATCAAAATCTGGCTTCCTGGAACTTGAGCCCATGGTTGCATGACTGAGAACAGATCCTGCCCCTCCACTGCCCAGCAATCTTTCAAGTACAGTGGTGCCCCGCATAGCGACGTTAATCCGTTCCAGGATTAACGTCGCTATGTGAAATTGTCGCTAAACGGAACAAAAAACCCCATAGAAACGCATTAAATCCTGTTTAATGCGTTCCTATGGGGCAAAAACTCACCGTTCAGCGAAGATCCTCCATAGGGGTGGCCATTTTCGCCGCCTCGGTGAGCGAGGAATACCTCCAGAAAACAGGCGGCCATTTTGGAACCGCCCATCAGCTGTTAAAAAAGCATTGCTTTGCTATGATCAGTTCCCCAAGCAGGGAACCGATCATAGCAAAGCACTGCCAGCTAGCCAGCCCGGGAGACACCAGGCGTCGTTGGGCAGCGGGCGAGCGAGGGCTCGGGAGGAAGGCCGCCAGAACACCCGAGCCTTGCCCTCCTCCCCGCTCTCCCCGAAGCACCCCTCACCCCTGTCTCCGCCGCCGCCGGGCCGCCAGGAGGAGGGCCGCCGGAACACCCGGGCCTTGCCCTGCCTCTCCGCTCTCCCCGAAGCACCCCTCACCCCCGTCTCCGCCGCCGCTGGTCAGCTGGGGGAAGCCGAAGCCGGCATTTCAGCCCAGCTCCGGAGGGGGGAATCCCTTCCCCCTCCCCTCCTGAAGCTGAGGCTGAAGCCGGCATTTCAGCCCAGCTCCGGAGGGGGGAATCCCTTCCCCCTCCCCTCCTGAAGCTGACGCTGAAGCCGGCATTTCAGCACAGCTCCGGAGGATGGGGAGGGGAATCCCTTCCCCCATCCGCTCGAAGCCCCGCCTATCAGCTGCGCGAAAATGGGGCGTAGGGGGAAAATCGCAAAGCGATTTTCCCCCATTGAAAACATCGTTTTGCGATCGCTTTTGCGATCGCAAAATCTTCGTCGCTATGTGGATTGTTCGTTAAACGGAGCACCCGTTAAGCGAGGCACCACTGTATTAGGAAAAGTGCTAGCCTGTCTCCTCTCGGTCTTCTTTTTCTAACGCTGAACATTCCCAAACCTTTCTGTCTTTCCTCACAGGGCTTGGTTGCCAGCCCCCTTTGATCATCTTCATTGCCCTTCTCTGAATTTCTTCCAGTCTGTCAGCATCCTTCTTGAAGTGTGGTGTCCAGAACTGGAGACGGGACTCAAGGTGAAACCTAACCA